AAAGTGGTAAGCAAACATGCAATCCTAAAATCAAAACTCTATCTTTAACATACACATATTACAGCTACATACTTGGACCAAAGCCCTAAATAACAGTATTCTGTAATTACTAAATAGGCTCAAAGACCACCAACAAAATAGCACAGTACTAGAAACCTAGACAAATACACATACCAGTGCTACCACATCATAGAGCAACAGATGTACTACAATTGATCTTTTCTTCAACCTCTGAAAATGTAGCCTTGCAAAACAAGGCCTCAAAAAATTGGTTTAAGACTCAGAGTTGTTCCTCTCCACGGAAATCTTTAGTAAAAGGCGAAAGATTTATACGATCTGAAGAGAAACCAGAGTATGAATTACGCTGTTCATAATTCAAGTCTCAGTGAACAGCAAACCTTATCACGCTAATGGTGGTTCGTCGATCCAAGAGTTTGTCCAAAAGAGAAATCTTTCCCATTGTTTTGCATATAAAAGCTTCGTTTGCACAACTACATAGGGAAAATAAATTTTTAATGTTGCTGTTTCGCACTTGTGCCGTGCGCGGTGCACTATGGGTATGCAAATTAGAGAGCCCACTCTGCCCGCCCTTCCCGTTCTGGCAGTCGCGGAGCTTAGGCTGGAGCTAGGGCGGGAGCTTTAGCGGGCGAACCCGGGGGACCAGTTAGTCAGACTCCGAGGTTTTCTGGTTTGTAGTTTTGAATGCCTGCCATTAACTTGGGAAAAAATAAATCAGGAAACATTCGTTGGACGCAAAATTCAGGATCGTGCGCAAAATTCAGGATCCTCCCTTGAGTGGGAGTGAAGGATCTGGGCACGCCAGGGGTTAAACGGTTTTCCTAAACGACCCGGCAAGCATTAAGGGTATGTTGGTATGGTTGTGCTGGTGGTTGCTACCATGCACTCTGACTTATACGCAGCGGAATATTCAGGCAACGTCCTCCTGGCTACAATGGGGACATGGTCTTCTTGTCCTAAACCCCTCAACGTTAAACATGCACCTGTTAAACATTCACCTGTATCACGGTGAAGCCCAGGCTAACCCCAAACTCGGGATCCTCCTGCCTCAGCGATCTAGTGCTGGAATTTCAGACGTGCACCGCGTGGAATGGAAGCCAGCTTTTATTTTTACTTAAATATTTACTTTTACTTTAGTCAATGATTAATGTTTGGGTGCCGATCCGGAGGCTGAAACTCAGGCTGTTTCTAAACTCCTTTTGCTGCGGGCTAGCTAGGGCTCCACACCCCTAGAGCAACGGCACCACTTCCAGCTTTCTCTGTGATTAATTGGAGATGAGTCTCAGTGTTACATCTGGTTTTCAGGTCCAGCTTTCTCTGTGATTAATTGGAGATGAGTCTCAGTGTTACATCTGGTTTTCAGGTGGTTAATTGCGATAAGAGTCTGATGGACTTTTCTTGCCCTGGGCTGGCTTTGAATTGCCTCCTAGCCACCCCCCCACCCCCAAGTCAGCTCTGGAGCCTGAGCTGAGAACCTGGGTGCTGTCCCTGAGGCTAGCAACTCTAGCTTCCAGTTTTTTCCTGTGTATGTGATTTTGAGGAATGGAACCCAGAGCTTCATTCATGGTAGGAAAGCACTCTCCCACTGGGCCACATTACCGGCCCCTTATACAGAGCTTTCTTCCCCCCCCCACTTACCTGCTAGTAATACTACTCCCCTTACTATTACAAGTACCACAACACTACCTAGGAGTTAATACAACACCATCATAGCTAAGCAGCCGACCTTTGAAACAAGATTTATTTTTTCTTTTTTTTAGACTGAAAAAAGTAGCCTTGGCACATCAAGGCCTCAAAAAATTGGTTTAAAACTCAGAGTTGTTCCTCTCCACGGAAATCTTTAGTAAAAGGCGAAAGATTTATACGATCTGAAGAGAAACCAGAGTATGACCCTGAGGTGCGCTGACACACAGGCCTAGGAAAGACAACTCCTCGTACGTCTACGGTAGCAATTTTTCGAAAGCGCTATTATATAGAGAGGTGTACGTGATACATTCTGCCAATTATATTTCCTAGGTTAAAAGACTCAGATCATGGTTAAATATATTTCATTGGGAAAAAAAAACTTTTGCCCTAGTTGCAGTGTACTCTGGGTATGCAAATGAGCGCTGAATAATTACCCCTGGGAACTTCAGTTTCACCTGGAGTAACTGGAGGCCCTGCGAGCTTGGCTCTCCGGGGTTTAAACCCTGCTCTGCTCGCACACAGGGATTCTGAATTTGGGTTTCTTACTCTAGGAGCATGAGTTATTTATTTATGTATTTCTGGAACGTAAAGGAGTTTTTAAGTACTTGGTGTGGAGAGAGGTGGTAAATTCAGTTAATAATATCCCCCTAGTGGCCAGCGAGGCTTTGCAGAAGGGAAAAGGGGACCCAGGGACGCGAAGATATTGACCAAACCTTTTACTTCCACCTGGTGCAAGGCCCCAAGACTTTCTTCCGTTGTTTCCAGCGATGCATACAGTATTTGTTTTGGAGATAGCCTCAAACGAGCAAGAGATGCATGAAAGCCGCGCAGGTGCATTGCATTGACAGGGCCGGGTCAGCGCCTGCTGCGGGGGCGCATGCGCACTGCCTTGCCCTTTGGATTGCATTGCAGCTTGGCTCCTAAGCTTTGGAGTTCGTTTCCCTTTGCGTGGTCCATCAGGTCACCCACAAGGGAGGGAAGGTGGAAGGTTTTGGTTTTATTCACTATCTCTAGGCCATCTGGAGGCTGAGAATGGAAGTATTGGTTGGCAGACAGAGGGAGACAGCAAAGGCAGGTGAGACCACCAGAAAGCCGGGTCTGGAAACGTGGTTTAGGAGGTCAAGCTATGGCAAAGCAGACCAGCCAAAGAGGAGGACCACTTTTTAGAGAGGATAAAGGAGTTTATTGCCAGGAACCTGAACCAGGATAGTGCCAGAAAGAAGTTCTGTGCCCTGCTGGGTGCCAGTGGCTGTAATCCTAGCTACTCAGGAGGCTGAGATCTGAGGATCATGATTCAAAGCCAGCCTGGACTGAAAAGTCGCCACGTGAAAACCGGAAGTGAAGCTGTGGCTCAAAGTAGTAGAGTGCTAGTTTTGAGCAAAAGAGCTCAGGCCCTGACTTCAAGCCCTATGGCTGATGGGGGCAGGTGGTGGGTGGGGGAGAGGCAGGGAAGGAATAAAGGGAGAAGAGAAGGAAGAAGAAGGAGGAAAAGAAGAAAGAAGTAGTTTGGATCTCCAGGGAGAGGAAATCCTGAGTTTTATTCAAGCTGGTTACACACAAAAAGTCACTAATCAGGGCTGGGAATGTGGCTTAGAAGTAGACTGTTTGTCTAGCATTCATGAAAGCCCCAGGTTTGACTCCTCAGTACCACATAAACAAAAAAGCGCCAGGCACCAGTGGTTCATGCCTGTAATCCTAGCTACTCAGGAGGCTGAGATCTGAAGATTGCTATTCAAAGCCAGCCTGGGCAGGAAAATCTGTAGACTCTTATCTCCAATAAATCACCAATAAAAGGAAGTGGCGCTGTAGCTCAAGTGGTAGAGCACTCACCTTGAGCTGAAGAGCTGAGGGACAGTGTCCAGGCCCAGAGCTCAAGCCCCATGACTGACAAAAACTAAACAACAACAACAAGAAAAAAAAACAAACAGAAAAAGCTGGAAGTGGTGCTGTGGCTCAGATGGTAGAGCAACAGAGCCCAGGCCCTGATTTCAAACCCCCAGACTAAAAATAAAGAGAACCCTTTTTGGGTCTGGCGTTTTTTGTTTTTCTTTCTTTTTCTTTTTATGGTGCCAGCCCTGGGCTTGAATTCAAGGCCTGTGCAATGTCCCTGAGGTGTTTTTTTTAAATTTCTTTCTTTTGCTTAGGGCTAGTATTCTACCACTTGAGCCAAAGCTCCACTTGAGGCCTTTTGGTGGTTAGTTGGAGATGAGTCTTGGGGTTCTTTCCTGCTCTGGAAGTCTTTGAGTTAGGACTGAGTCACGAGAGTATTAGAATACAGAAAGAGCAGAAAAAGACCTCAACAGTCCAGATCAATGGAAAGTTGAAGAGTCAGGAGACACCAGGCATACTGGAGAGACAGGATTGAAGGCTCTTAAGTAGGGTCCTTGGTGAATGTGGCTGGAGGGTACAAAAAGTTTCCGGATGGGCTTTGCAAGTTGGTGCTTTCAGATTTAAGTTACTTATGCAGGCCTGATTCTGGGAACCTGTAGTGCAAACCCACTGAGCAGGTCCTGGTTCAGCCAGGTGTGACCTGCTTCTCGGAACTAAGGCGCCAGTTACCAGGAGGGGTGGGAGAGTGGGCTATCACATTTCGAGATCGCAGCAGATTTCCCATCAACCTTGATCCTCAGATCTCAGCCTCCTGAGGAGCTAGGATCACAAGATGTGAGCTACCGATGCCCAGACCTGGATCTGTTTCCACCAGAAGTGTCTATGATGTTTACTTTTAGAGGCTTGGGGTGACGTTTGGGTGGCAAGCAGGGATACCGAACCCTCAGCAGCTGTGGTGACTCAAGGTTAGTAGTAAGCAGAAAAGGCTGGGATTTCTGAAGGGGCGTGGCTTTCACAGGGGGGGCGGGCTCGGAGAGGGGGCGTGGCCGACGGAGGAGCAGCACAGAATGGGCGTGGTGTGCGAGGGGCGTGGCCTCTCGGGGTCCTGCCCGACGCCGGGCGTGGTCTCGTGTGGGCGTGGTTAGGGGAGGGGCGTGGCCTATCCGGTCTGGGAGCAACTAGAGGTAGTGTGAGGTGGCGACCTCAGGGGGGGGGGGGCGGTAAATAGGTCCTGGGCAAGCCCGGGGTCCCACGCACGCTGGGGCTGAGCGCAGGCGGCGCCGCGGGCAGCTAGCAGGCGCTGGGGCTTCGGCTGCAAGGCGGAGGGCGTGGTCAGGAGCCCGCACGGCCCCGGGTGGGCCTGTGGTCCCGGAGTGTCGCCTCGGGTCCGCGCCCCTGCACCAGATAGGGGTGACCGCATTCTCGTGCCAGTCTCCCCCTGGTCGTACAGCCCCTCCCCTGGCGCTGGACTTCCCCCCCCCCCCACGGGTGTGGATCTCCCCAGGCGTTCCGGGCCCGGGCTCTCCCAGCGCGAGGTCTCCAGTCCCCTGCAGGGGACGCTGGGGAGTTGGATCGTAACCCAGCTCCGTCTTCTCTCCCCGGGCCTGGCTCCAACCCTGGCCCCGGGAGGTCGGGTCCCGCTCCGATCTCAAGCTGGGCGGTGGCCCGCACCTGCGCATCGCCCCCCAGCCGCGCGCCGGGGGCGGGGATGGAGGCCTCCTCCTCCAGGGAGGCCGCCCGGGCGGCGGCGGGCCGGGACGTGCTGGCCGCCGACCTCCGCTGCAGCCTCTTCGCCTCTGCGCTGCAGAGCTACAAGCGGGACTCGGTGCTGCGGCCCTTCCCCGCTGCCTACACCCGCCACGACTGGAAGGACTTCGAGGCCCTGGTGAGTGTGCTCGGGTGGCCGGCCGATGACCACTGCGACCAGCAAGTGGCCTTGCGGGATCCACCGGCAGAAAGCGGCCCCACCCGCTTAGTCAAACGTCCTCAGCTCTGGAACTTTCCATTTGCCCGGCTTGGCCTTGGGGCAAGTGTTCCTCACTAGCTTAACCACCCCCGAGTTGTCACACTCGTGGGTCATCGGGGATGTCGAAGCGCACGGTGGACTCTCAGGAGTGAAGCGAGAAATCGTGTGGCTGGCGGTGGGGTGTTCGTCAGCTGTTCTGCTGAACTTGGAAGTTTCCCCTCCCTTTGCAAGGAATGAGTCACCCAAAGTCACCAGAGCCATCTAGACTTTGATCTTCCTGTGAAGGAACTAGGGGCAGGCTTTTTATAAAACAGAGCACAACAAGAGCATGTTTATTTCTCTGATGATTGACCAGGCCTTTAATTTCTCGGGGGGGGGGGAGATCTAGCATCAGCCTTCCAGGTAATCAGTTATCTTTGGTATTACCTAGAGAAATAGAATTTACCACAACATAGAACACTAAAACTAACCTAGGATCATTAAAAACACTGAATTATTAGTGGTCAAAGATTTCTTTTTTCCCCCCTCAAAGGAAACTCTGGACCTAGTGGGCCTCAGTGAATTCTACCATTCACTAGATGAATATGTCATTACAGTTTATTAATTTATTTTGTGTGCATGTGTGCGTGTGTGTGTGCTGGTCCTGAAGCTTGAACTCAAGGTCTGGGCACAAGCCCTGAGGTGTTTGTTTGTTTTTGTTGTTGGTTGTGGGGCTAGAACTCAGGGCCTGCGCTTTATCCCTACATTGTTTTTTTTTCCTCAAGGCTAGCATTCTACTACTTTGAGCTACAGCACCACTTCTGGTTTCTTGGTGTTTAATTGGGAACAGGAGTCCTACGGACTTTACTGCTCAGGCTGGCTTTGAACCATAATCCTCATATCTCAGCATCCTGAGTAGCTAGGATTGCAGGTGTGAGCCACCCGCCCAGGGCTAATTTTAAAGTATTGAAAGAGAGGCTAGCCTTAGTCTTGTATTATCCAGGATAATACAAGAAAAAAAATGTAGGCCAGTGTTATTCATGAGGATCAATGAAAGAAATTCTTTTTAGTTGGGCACTGATGGTTCATGGCCTATAAACGTAACTACTTAGGTATCTGAGATCTGAGAATCGTAACTTAAAGCCAGCTCAGGAGACTCTTATTAACCAGTTAACCAACTAAAAGTTTGAGGGAGACATGCTAACGTGGTACAAGGTCAGTTTTAGCAGCTTGTAGGGAGCAGAGCCAAAATGCAAAGCCCTGAGTTCAAGCCTCAGCACACACACACACAACATTAGGATCCTAATCTGTGGCTCTGCCTGTAATCGTAGCTGGTAAAGGGCTAGCCTTGAGTAAAATAGCTTAGGAATAGGCTGATATCCTGAGTTCAAGCCCCACGACAGGTACAGAAAAAAAAGTCTCAGGGGCTGGGAAGGTGGCTCAGTGGTAGAGCGCTTGCCTTGCATGCATGAGGCCCTGAGTTCAGTTCCTCAGCACCACATAAGCAGAAAAGGCCGGAAGTGGTTCAAGTGGTTAAGCAGTAGCTTTGAGCTGAAGAGTTGAGGGGCCCAGGACCAGCAAACAACAACAACAAACTGCATCTTTCCTGGAACAACACAGTTTAAGTAGATTCTAGTAGAGATAACCCTGGAATTGTCAAAGTTCTTGTCACATAGAATTTCCTTCTATTGGGCTGGGAAGGTGGCTCAGTGGTAGAGCGCTTGCCTTGCATGCCTGAGGCCCTGGGTTCGATTCCTCAGCACCACATAAGCAAAAAGAAAAAAAGCCGGAAGTGGCACTGTGGCTCAAGTGGTAGAACACTAGCCTTGAGCTGAAAAGCTGAGGGACAGTGCCCAGGCCCAGAGTTCAGGCCCCACGACCGGACCCAAAAAAAAAAAGAATTTCCTTCTATTGAATTGTTCTTTAAAGTGAACTAACAGCTAAAGCTTAAAATTAATTTACCAGCAAAGCAATAAAGACAAGAATTTAAAAAAAAAAAAAAAGAAAAAAAAAGTCTCAGTTGGGTGCTGGCCATTCACACCTGTAATCCTAGCTACTTTGGAGGCTGAGGTCTGAGAATCAAGGTTTAAAACCAGTCCAGGCAGGAAAGTCCTTGAGACTCTTATCTCCAATGAACTACCAGAAAACCAGAAGTGGTGCTGCGGGTCAATGGTAGAGCGCTTGCCTTGAGCTAAAGAGCTCTGGGACAGCACCCAGACCCAAAGTTCAGGCCCCACGACTGACAAATAAGTCTCATTTGTTTAGCTAAAAGCATTTGCAAGTAATGTGAATTTATCTCTTTATTTTTTTTTTAGTCAAATTATTTTCCTCCACATTACAAAGTATTATTATATACCTGTAATACTTGAGTTACAGAGCTTTGGCAGGAAATGGTATTATTTATTTTTATGAATTGAGCCCTTGGTTTTAGGCTGGGTCCAGCCTTACTCTGCTCCTGTTCCCAAAGTCCCGAGTCATTAAGTCATTTCTCTGGTATTTTTTGTTGTTGTTTGTTTTTTTGGTATTGGCCCTGGGTCTTAAACTCAGGACCTGGGCTCTGTCCCTGAACTTCAGGTTAAAGAATTTACAGCACCCTTGGAATTTCCTTTGTTCTTGACCATTGGACATCATACTTCAGGGTATCATTTTATACAGATTCTTATCACTGCTTTGTGTGTGTTTGTGTGCCAATAGTGGGGCTAGAGCTCAGGGCCTGAGTGTTGGCCCTTAGCTTTTGCCATTCAAGGCTGATGCTCTACCACTTGAGCCATGGCTCTACTTCTGTCTTTTTTTTTGGTTGGTCGTGGGGCTTGAACTCTGGGCCTGAGCGCTGTCCCTCAGCTCTTCAGCTCAGAGCTAGCACTTGACCACTTGAGCTACAGTGCCACTTCCAGTTTTCTGGTGGTTTATTGGAGATAAGAGTTTCACGGACTTTCCTGCCTGGGCTGGCTTTGAACTGCGATCCTCACATCTCAGCCTCCTGAGTAGCTAGGATTACAGGCATGAGCCACCAGTGCCCGGCTACTTCTGTCTTTTTTTTTGGTGGTTAATTGGAGATAAGAGTCTCACAGGCTGGGCGCCGGTGACTCATGCCTGTAATCCTAGCTACTCAGGAGGCTGAGATCTGAAGATTGTGGTTCAAAGCCAGACCTGGCAGGAAACTCAGTGAGAAGCTTTTTATTTTTATTTTTTTCTGCCAGTCCTGGGCTTGAACTCAGGGCCTGGGCTCTGTCCATGAGCTTCTTTTGCTCAAGGCCAACAGTCTTCCACTTGAGCCACAGTTCCACTTCTGGCTTTTTCTGTGTATGTGGTACTGAGGAATCGAACCCAGGGCTTCATGCACGTTAAGTGAGCACTCTACCACTGAGCCACCTTCCCAGCCCTCTGTGAGACTCTTATCTCCAATAAATCACTCAAGAAACCAGAAGTGGCACTGTGGCTCAAGGGGTAGAGTGCTAGCCTTGAGTTGAAGAGCTCAGGGACAGCGCCCAGGCCCAGAGTTCAAGCCCCACAAGTGGCAAAAAAAAAAAAAGTTTCACACAATTTCCTGCCTGGGCTCATTCTGAACTGCGATCCTCTGATCTCAGCCTCCTGAGTAACTAGGATTACAGGTGTGAGCCACCTGTGCCCGGCTAGGATCTGTTTTTTCCCAAGGCCACTGTGCACACAGCAGTATGGAAAGTGCTCTCTATTCAGCATACCCTCTGCCTATCTGCCACTTTAGGGCTATACTGCCCCCCAGAGGAAATTTGAGGACTCTTCATATTTTTTCCTCTTCCTGTTTTCTAGATACTAATATTCCCCAAAGTCAGGTGAAAACTTGTCCTCTCTGGGCCAGCCCCTCCTGAGACTGTGTCTCTCTGTGGAGGCAAACTCCTTGTTACATTAAAAATGCAGCTGGCAGGGGCTGGGAAGGTGGCTCAGTGGTACGGCGCTTGCCTTGCATGCATGAGGCCCTGGGTTCGATTCCTCAGCACCACATAAAGCAAAAAGAAAAAAGGCGGAAATGGCACTATGGCTCAAGTGGTAGAGCGCTAGCCTTGAGCTGAAGAGCTGAGGGACAGTGCCCAGGCCCAGAGTTCAGACTCCACGACCGGACCAAAAAAAAAAAAAATGCAGCTGGCAGATGGTGGCTCATGCATGTAATCCTGACTACTCAGGAGGCTGAGATCTGAGGATCATGGTCAAAGCCAGCGCTGGCAGGAAAGTCCATGAGACTCTTATCTCCAGTTAACTACCATAAAGCCAGAAGTGGAGCTGGGGCTCAAGTGGTAGAGCACTAGCCTTGAGTACAAAAGCTCAGGGACAGTGCCCAGGCTCTGAGTTTAAGCTTCATGACCAATAACAGCAACGGCAAAAATGGCAGCTGGAGCTTCCCCATATTCTGTCCCCTCTCTTTTTGTGACTTCTGACTCTAAGTTCCCTCACTTTTGCCCCTCTGCTTGGTACTGGGACTTGAATTCAGGGCCTGTCACTCTTACTTGGCAAGGCTGGTGCTCTACCACTTGATCCATGCCTCTAGTTTAATGGATCTACCCTCTTTCCCTCACTCTCTTACTCACCAAAAAGTCTTACCACATTCCTTAGTAGTTTACCTTTGTTTTCTCTTGCTGGTATTGGTGCTTGAACTCAGGGCCTGGGTTCTGTCCTTACTTTTCTTTTTTTTTTGGGTCTGGTCGTGGGGCCTGAACTCTGGGCCTGGGTGCTGTCCCTCAGCTCTTCAGCTCAAGGCTAAAGCTCTACTACTTGAGCCACAGAGCCACTTCCGGCTTTTTTCTTTTTGCTTATGTGGTGCTGAAGAATCGAACCCAGGGCCTCAGGCATGCAAAGCAAGTGCTCTACCACTGAGCCAACTTCCCAGCCCCCTTGCGCTTCTTTTGCTCAAAGGTAGCGCTCTACCACTTGAGCCACAGTTCTACTTTAGGCATTTTTGATAGTTTATTGGAGATAAGAGTCTTGAGGTCTTTTCTTGCCCAGACTGGCTTTGAGCCATGATCCTCAGCTCTCAGCCTCTTTTTTTTTTTTCTTTTGGTTCGGTCGTGGGGCCTGAACTCTGGGCCTGGGCGCTGTCCCTCAGCTCTTCAGCTCAAGGCTAGCGCTCTACCACTTGAGCCACAGCACCACT